CCCCAGACAGGAATTCGCATACAAATTAGAGTTGAATTTTTCACATAATGATACCGGGGAATGAAGTTCAGTCAAGTGACAGAGACAAAATAATGGACAATGTTTTTTTGTGCAAATTTTCATGCACTACATAAAGCACAAAAGTGCAGTGCTTATTTAAAGAAACTAAGTATTCTACACATGCTGCATACGTATCATGGGACCCACATCAATTACATGGCCATTATGATACAAAAAAGTAAAAGCAAAAGTGTTCATTTCGAGCTTTCTGTTATACCCCAGACTACTATGCATTGTGATTAGTACAATGGCAACTCAGAAGGGAAATTTCCAATTAACCAATTAATCACTCTGATTACCTACTATATATTTCAATATATTATACTAATTAGGTCATGAGATATCTGGAGTAATGAAGCTTAATTCACTGTCCTTCAAGTTGCATTTAGGACTGCAGAATATTTAATGGAGTGAAACCTATAAGTAGCACATGTTAGATAAGAGAAGTACTAAAGACCAGAATACCGTAGATGAACAGACTGACATACCAATACAGATAGATTGACATTGGAATGCTATGTATGGATAGAGATATGATAAATCCCCACTTATAAAATAAATTATACATTCTAATGAGTTGCAATATCATGGCTGTTGAACTTGACATTTCCAAAACACATCAAGTAGCTCTCAGCCTTGGAAGCCTATCTTTTTGAACTGTGCAATCCAACCATGCAAGCAACAAACCAAATTTTTTAGATAAATGTGACATTACTTTGTGCTGATTACTGAATTAATATACTGTAGAATACTTTATTTTCGCTTGGAATTTATTTTCGCTGAAGGGATGGTTCCGTGAAAGTAAAATCCAGCGAATATACTTTTTTTTCCTATATTTCACATTAAACTCATCAAAAATCAGTGAAAATAAATTCCATACAAAACGCCCAAAAAGCCTTTTCAGCGAAAATTAATTCCAGCGAAAATAAAGTATTCCACAGTATATGACTCCATGAGGAAAAAATAATAATCAAATTTTTTTTTTAAAACTGGTGATAATGGAGAGATACAGAGGATTTTCATCAACAACAAAAATCAGGTTCATTTATCATCTTAAAACTAACCAATTTTTTCATTTTATTTTGAATGGCTGAGCAACGTTGAAAAAAACTTACAATATCAAATCGTGGGAAAGGGGGAAATACTCTCCTACTTAATATATGTACCGGTAGCTACAATTATTTTATATTATCTCGTAAATTATTCATGTATTTTGAATATTGACAGACAGCCAACACTTATTGATAGATTACAACATCTCTGTTGTGGCATTTTTAATAGTCATATGAACTAGAGCTGTAATCAGCAAACTCTGTGAAAATGTACCAATAAGTTCAAAACCAATTAAAATACAGGATTGCCTGAAACAGCCAATCAGGAGGAATGAATTATTTTAAATAACCAATGAGATGTCAGGACTTGTACAAAAAAATCCAAATAAGCAATTCATTCATTCACTGATTGTGGGGTTAATACACAATACAATGAATCCAGAGTTACTAGTATACTGTAAAAGGATTAATTATTCACTGGGTTTCAATTTTGCTTATTTTGCTGACTGGAAAATGCGCTTATTTAAAACCCAGTGAATATGTAAAATTTAGCATAGAACACACTATCTAAATGATAAAACTGTGAATTTAAAAACCCACTGAATATGCCTGAAATGGTAAATCAGCGAAATTTACACCCAGTGAAAATTAGTCATTTTACAGTATCCTTTGAATGGTGAACAGGAAGTAGTTATCAGTTGGTATAAACAACCCTTACTAAACATAAGCAGCAGATCAGTCTGTTCTAAGATGAATCTAAGCCCCCAATTATGTTATCAAGCAAAGCATTATGGTCATTCATGGTGAGCATAAACTAACAAGTAGGTAACTATGGTAACAATCCAAACCAAACTGGCTGTCTTGTTACCAAATAAATTTATCCATCAGTATGTCACCTCTAATAAAAGTACATATAAAGCAACTGATTGAATGTTACAGACAACCATTAGAAAGACATGAAATTTCCCGCCAAAAGTTTTGGTGCAACATTTTCTACATTTCAGTGTATTTTTCTACAATTTATTTATTGCTTTTGAACCTAATGGATCTAGTTTTCCATTGGCTTAAAGATATTCATTAATATTTTTTAAAAAAAAGTATTTTGTGAATGTTGTCAAAAACTAAGACGAATATTTAAATGATTCACAGTACATCTAATAATGGTCAATTCTCTTTTTAATTTTTTTTTTCATACTCCAAGTGAGTCTCACATAACCTATTACTGAATAAGAAGCAAAATGTTTGTGATTTGTCTAGAGGTTTTAGTTTTTGTGTCGTTGGGAATTTCATTTGGCATTCTAAATAGTTTCTCTTTTTTGTGTTTTTTATTTTTTTTAAGCAATATTCAAAATGAAATTGAACAAACCAATTGAAATTTGTATTACTGTATTTAATTAATGAGTAGAAACTCAGGGTCAGGGAGATATGGTAGAAAAACTCTATTTTTTTTACTCTGGAGCTAGATTTGTTACTAGATTACCTCCAAATGAGATCTTTCTCTGATTTTCCTACAGAAAGTATATAACCAGCAACTAACATTATTACCTATACATTTATCGCATCATTTAGTCCTAATTATGTCAGCCCTATGTAGTAATGTACTTTTACACTGACTTAACCAAAAAAGAGTTAAACACACAACTGTACAATGTATATGACAAATCAATTATTAAAGTCAAGTTAAGGAAAACCCATTTTACATGTCAGACTAATCCCTCTCTATTTAAGCAAATTTACTACCAGTATGTAGTGTTGACGGAAGAACTCCAGGGTGGCGTGTACTATGGAAGTTTTACTATGAAGAAAGGGCATGGGAATTTATGAAAATAAACAGAATAGAGAAGTTACAGATGTAAAATGCATTTCCGGGACTGACCTTCAAAAGGATATCAATGAAAAGATTCAAATATGCCACCTGGATAGATGAATGGATTGAGTGAACGAGTCTACAAAATATAACCCTTGTTGAGTTTCACGCACAATTAATATTCAAAGGTTTACTCTATTTTTGACATGCGACAGATTATACATACACAAATGCAATCAAAATTAGTATACCACTGAAGTTGCAGATTTCAGGAATCAAACACACGAATAAAAAAAACAGGTCCGTTTTTTTTTCCAATCACAAAAAAGTTATTCTTAGACAGTATTTTACTGCATAATGACCAAAATGCACATGCAAAATTATGATACATGTTTATGTCACTGGTAAACGGCATTCAAATGATGTTAAATTAGCTTTTTTCACTGAATTTTTAATAACATTTTTCCCTGAAAATTATAATAATTCTGACGAACTACTTATTTATATTTTTATTGCTAACTTAAGTGGTATGCTTGCTTTAACAACCAAGCTAAGGATGCCAAACCAAGAGATGGGAAAATATCATGAATTTAACACATTCAATATGAACTAAGCATCAAATGCTACACAGATACATAAAGTAATTAAAATGCACAGGACATGAAACTGAATCTTTGGTCAGATGATCCCATGGCCTTCATGTGTCATTACTAGTTTGTTTTACAAAAGATGAACATTCTTATCTTAATGAAAATTAGACAATGCAATACCATATAGATCTTGCAAACTGATCAGTAGACAACTATGGCAAAGCCAATAAATAATAAATTAAATAAATAGGAAGGGAGTTTTTCAGATTCAGTAATTCAAAGGAGAAAACTCCAAAATTAACAGTGAGATTCCATGAAAGACGTCTAATGATAATTTGAATGTGACAAACACTGCACAAACTGTGTGTATGAATTCTATTGTCATATTTATTAAATTTTTGACCAAAATTTTACTAATGACACAATATAAGACAGAATAAACTATGTTATAATATCCTTATTAAATACTCAACATTAAAATCAGAGTGGTCTTACGAATTACGGTATGTCCATCTTGCAGGTGAAACTATTCATTCCAACCGAGTACTACACTATATTGTTAAACCTGAGTGTTGGTTCAGTGCTTGGCGCGTTACACTCACTCCGGAAAAATATGAATCAGGATACAGTCTGCTCCGCCTTCTAAACATTCAGACATGATTTGAAAAGCATTTTTGGACATGTAATTAGCACCAAAACGAAAAAAAAAAAAAAACGCCAGGAGAGACAGCAGTGACATCAATGGCCGGAATTGGTGCCTGGTACAAGATGCATAGTCATTCAAATATACTTCCTTTTTCAAATTCCGCCCACATACCGTTCTATTTTGTTTTTGTTTTTTTATTTTTTCATTATGTATAGATCTTATTATTTTCACGTCTCTATACCAAATTTGTGCATCAAATCTGCAATTTTTATGAAAATCTGTGAACCTTAATGTGACACTATCATCACGAGTTCTGCACATATGCATATTTTTACGGCTCACCAAAACATGAATCTTTCCACTGCGACTAGTTTTAAGAGAGCTGTTCCCTGTACCACACAGAGAGGAGTGTAGACCCAACAAATTACTCTTCAAAACAATGATACATACCGCGCATACAAATCAATCTGAACTCATGACATTAATGCAGCTAAAGTGCAAACATCAGTATTTACAAAAGACTAAAAATCAAAAGAATACGTGCTGTGGCTTATGATGAGACAATTCGGTATCAGGACTACATCGACTTAGGAGGAAGGTAATTTTTTCAAAATGGCCCATCTTTATAATAACAGTCCTATTGGCTGCGTAACGTCCATCTTGTAATCCATAACATTTATAAGACATTCAAGTGGTAAAAAACGTAAATATATGGAATGATGAGTGACTGACACTTAAAAATGTGGATGACATCGCCAGTATGGTAACTTCAAATCTCGGCAAAAGGAGTTCACATGAAGAAGTATTGGTGTGTGTAAAAAGTGTATAAATATTCTAAGCCTTACCTGTGTCTGTGACTTTGTAGAAAAAGATATCACCTGTGGCATTGGTGTTATCAAATATGACGTAATGTATCAGCATATCGTCCACGTCACCTGGGAAACAAAAGAAGATAATCATGAGCATCAGGTGTACAAGAATTGACATCTATGTTGCACTAGCTTTGTGATATAATTACGAGCACATAACATGGTTTTTGACAATTGTTGTTTATCATTTGACAGGAATCTGCTCTGTCTTGGGGAACTACTTTCCTGCCCACAAATTTTCAAAACATTCACATTTTAAAATGCACAGTCAGAAGGTGATTAGGACCTAAGAATAGATCCTACACTTTAAGTTTCAGATATTATACTAAGAAAGACGTTTTTCCCAAAAAGAAAATATTCACATGCCATTTTATTCTGTTTAGTTACTATGGTGATGACAAAACTAGGATTACATCAACAATTAAAATAAACATGGTCTACTAAACTTCAAAACGAATGTACTGGGGTCCTGAAACACATTTCTTTTGAGTTCAAATTTGAAATGAATCCGGACAAATGTTTACAAATGTTTACATAAAAATTTGCAAAGCTGAGGATCGTAATTAACCGTTCAGAAAAACGAAGGTATCCTCATCCACATAATCATCACTGCTGGATCAGTGGTTCTAAGGGACCCCCCATTGCGGGGTTATGACTCTAAAGGACCCCCTACTAAGAGACTGTATATCTTTACTTTTTTCCCAGGTGTAAATTTGGCATTCAAATTGAGTGAAATTTGTTTAACTTTATTTAATAACTTTTATGAACTAGCTACATTATCTGCTTTTCCGCAGTAATGATCTCGCAATAAAAACTTAAATAAATCATCCATCCCAATTATGATTGAGAGAGAGTAAGGCAAAGGCAAAGAGGGTTTTTTTGAATGGCATATTTTTCACCAAAGGTTAGCCTCGTATATAAGTTGTTTTGTGAGTTTTCTATAAACATTCCATTAGTCAAATTTGCAAACATTCCTGGCACATCAATACCATCACTATCTTCATTACACAATTCCATCTTTCTGACAAATAGCTTTACACATCTTTTTTACTTCAATGGAGAATTCCTCCTCAATAGAGTAAATCTCATTACCCTTCTCATAGATGAGAGCATATTTCATTCTCAATAGATTAAATAAGAAATCCATTAACTCCTTTTCCTGCATTCAACATTACTACATTAGAAAGTTTGCCAAAAATTACATCAATGGAATTTCCTGCTGTGTTTTTATCACACTGGTTGCTCTTGGAAACCCTGGAACCTCACAGTTATGCCTGGCCTATTGCTTTTCAAGAGCAGTATTTTACACGAGTGGAAAGAAATACAGAAGAGCATATCAAATTTTAATTTTAAGTCCGAAAGTGGACTTATTGCATAAAACTGTGCAAGTTTATTTTTTTAATGAATGTTCACCACCTTGAAACGTAGCATGTCAACCAACTGAGATAACCTACACCTATTTCTACGAATAGAACTTATTTTTAACTTTGTCAGAGGTTCCAAAATAGCAGTTGTTTGCTGAGAAAAACTAAGTATTCAAACCAACAAAATGGCAACTGAAATAAATTTGGTGTAAAATAATAACAATAAAAAATGCAATGCACAGAAACACTGAATGCGATATGACACTTAATTATTCACATATGTTGTGAAATGTGCACCCAAAGACAAGTGAACTGGAAAGATGCTAAATACAACTAAATATGATATTACAATATTATGACCACCTCAACAAAAGTGAGGAAGACAAAAAGAAAAGACTCTTATGGAAGGCAGTATGGAGGGTTAGAATGAAGACAACCCGAAAAGGAAGGATTAATTGAAGGACATAACAGAGTCTCAAAGATAATGAAGATACAGCATTTTAATAATCGAGTTTGAAAATGTATGTCACATCAACCAGGAGGGTCATCATACCAATAAAATTATTATTATTATTATTATTATTATTATTGAATAATGATGGGGACAAAGTCAAGTGGGTTCTAGAGGTGGGTCATAAGTAGTCATTAAATCATTAAAGAATATGCAAACACTTGGAACTAATCAATATTCATAATCCTCAGAAATGAGTTTTTCTGAAAAGTCTTGGGATGAGTGTAATCCAGGATTAATTATTTTGACAATAAAATGCAAGTGTTTGTTATGTAATCTAAATCGGTAGTTTGTTTATGGACATCGCTTAAAAGATTGTCTGTTCTTTGGTGTGCGACTAGAACTAAGTTCCTCACAAAAATTACTATTCCTATCATGTATTTTTTATTTTTCATTTTATCCATAGAAAGTTTTGAATTAGCGATTACTAAATCCAAAGTTAATACTGTCATGTATGGGAGTTCTATTGGCTAGACAATGATAAGAAAAGCGTAAGAATTAAAAAGACAAACAAAATGTTTGTTTTTGGGCATAATTTTTATAAAAATAACAAAAGCAATATTTCAATAACAATTTTAAAATTAAAAAAAAAAAAGCAGAAAAATTAATATTTATAAAATAAAATGGATATTACATACAACCAAGGGGTGATATTATTGAGTTGGAACCCCTACAATATAATTATGTCTAATCAGAGCTTATTATATCATAACAATCTTTACTATGGAAAGTGATGTTAAACTACTGATTGGTTAATACCCCAGATCATAATATTATTTTCTAAAAACCCTATAATTATGTGCTATCAGGTAGCATGCATCATTTAACACTGCAGTGGGCGTAATGAACAGCTACTGTGCATATGCTGTGACTCTTAGTGAAACAAAGGACAGGTCATAATGCCAGGGTCACTGGCATTCAGAAACTAGTTTGACCTTTGACCCATGCAGACCCAGTAATTATACTTCCCAGACAGAGGCTAGACAGGGGGAAACTATTGACAACATGCACACACTAATGGCTACCAGCTTCTTACCATACAACTACGCATCTAGTATTATTAGGTAAAAATATATAATATGTTAAACAAAACAGAAAAAGAGAAAGAAATCTTAAAGAACTCCTCAATAGTTATCCCGGATTTTAAGTCGGCAATGCATGCTAATAGCATTAGACATTACTGCAGAGTGCAGTCAAATATCAATGAACAGCTGTTGACAAGGTGATTTATTGTGACCTTTCACCCTGGAAATTAATAAGAATGTCTTCATCTTGAAAGGGTGCACAATGGTTTTCTGATCATCAAATGTGTGTAAAAAAAAACTGCACAATAGCTGAAAGTTTGGTAGCCACCCGCTGAGTTTGCTGTCAGGTGTTTTATGACGTTTGTAGTTCATGTAGTATATCGCACGCATTTATCTTCCATTTATTTTTTCATTGAGTGACTCAGATTTCTCAAAAACAAGTTTCAACTGCAGCAAAATTAAGACAACATAGACGCAACACATTTTAGAAACTATCATGGGACTAGCAATAAAAGTAATTCAATTTTTAAGTATGGACATTAATTTCAGTAACATGTTAAATTTCTGCCAGTAAACAATGGTTTACAAAACTATTAAACTTGGTTACATAGTTTCAGTGTTGTTGTAATGACCACCTCACATTTACACAAAGTCACAGTTGTCACTTTAAAATCAAATTAGTATTGATTTATTCTCAATAATATTTGTGAAGCAAATAATTCACTTGGGTAACAAGATAGGACTTGCATGTAAATGCATAATCCCCTGCATGTGGTTTGTACACCAAGAGTGGTATTAAAGTTTAATTAGCAGATCATGTAAAACATGAATTCAACAATTCTAAAAAAAGCAAACAAAGACCAAAAATTGAATTATTTTATAAAATTATATCAGTCGTTCACATTTAAGTGTTCAAATACAGTCTGTATATTATTCTCATGAGAAGCCAGCAACACAAGTTTCAAGTTTAATTTAAATTCCATTTACAATTTATATCCAACACTATGATGCACTATTCATATTTCACCTAATTATTATTAACATCTTTTGTAAGATTTATGTTTTTCAAATGTTGAATAGAATCATATTTGTTTTTTACTTGTGTTTACCGCAAGGTTTGTTGGATAGATACTTAACCCTGTCATGTGTTCACACATGTCAAACGAAGAACAAAATCCTGCTAACTAAACACAGTACACCTGCATGTTTAAAGTGAAGGGAATCCTTAACTTTGACAAAAAAATTGATTTTAGTTTCAACCATAATTAACAGCAATTGCAATCCTTGTGGAATCAATGCCTAAGCATCACATGTCAGGCACTACAAATAATTTGAATGTGATGATTTTCTACGGTTGGGAGAGTGAAATCTGTTATCTTTAAAGTTGAGGAAATTCAATGAAATCTTCTTCATAAGTTAGATTATTTCAAATCAGTACAGTCTCTGAATTAGTTGGCCACTCCTGACTTTATCAAATCTCAAATAGTTCTCCACTCAAAACTGACATGTGCACACAAGATATTTTGAAAATGATACTTGAACTGAATGTTACTCGAGATGGCAAGACATTTTCAAAATATACAATTTGCTATAACTTACAGCCTATGACTCCAAAATAGAAACTCCACATGCCAATGTTGATATGCACAAGAAGAAGATTTGAATTCAAGTGTAAATTTTGAATACTTTGATTCTTCAATACATGTATAATTGGTCTTAACAAAAAAATATATATATTTTTGGAGGTAATTGAATTATCAAAAAATTTAATTTTTGAGTGGGTGGATAATTATAGAGTGGTAGTATTTCATACAGAGGAAACAAAAGATTTTATTTTATTTTTCATCAATGAGAAGAAACATCAAGGTGGATTGATATAATCTGAATATTGACTTTTCTAGCCAGGTGTTTGAATTGCTTGAGGAAAATAGAAAATTATCATTTCAAGCAAAATTAGGGGGTTCAACTAAATTGCTATAGAAGGTGGTCTGACTATGACAGAGGGGGTGCAACTATGACAGAAGAAATCCAACTAACAGTAAGAGAACATAATCTTTGAGTCTAGTTATTAATACCAGATGTGCGTTCTATATAATATGTTACTGGTTGAATTAGTGAATTAGTTTGCTCAAGAAGCACTGAGTACTTCATGTGTGCATTCATTCA